GATTCAAAAGTCTGCCTCAACAGGTGAAAGTTACTTAATCTTTCTGGATCTCTGCGCCTCATCTATTAAGTATTAGTACTAATAGCAGTATTTAATGGTGTTTCTGTGAGGATTAAACAAAATTATATATATATATATAGTTTCAGAAACATTACTGGAACATAGTACACGAGCAAAAAATATTAGCTGTACTTTTTTATGCAGGCATAAAAGTGTTTTACACAGAGACGAGACTAGATTGTCCTCTAGAAAGCTCACTGTGGCCACAGTATTGAGAATGAATTGGAGGGAACAACTTGAAGGAAAGAGATCATGGAGAGATTCTGGTGACGTGGACCAGGATGGGAACATTAAAATAAATGGAGGTAGATTTAAGGGCATTTTAGAAGTCACCTTAAATTTATAATATACATGGTATATTTTAGTCATTCCTGACATGTCTGGACGTAGTCACTGGTCCCACTGATCCAGGTAAGTGAAGTTGGACCACACAATTTGCCTTCCTTTAGAGGAAGGGCATTCTCCTGCTCTACTTTGATGTGGATTTGTTCCTATGAGAGAGTGAGATAGATAGATTGTACTCTTGTTCTCAAGTATTGACCTTCCTATGAGAAGACTGTACATCTCCACCCCAATGACCTTGGGCTTGACCATGTGACTTGATTTGATCAATGGCATGTGGGACATGAAATACACATGCTTCTTGCCAGATCTCTTGATTTTTTTTCCTTGTGCCAAGAAATCAACATGAGGCTGCTACTTTAGGCATCTCAGGATGGGGTGGGGAAGACGTGGAATGGAGCCATAACATTGCAGCCAACCAACATGTAACTAAATGAGAACAAACCTTTGTAGTTATAAGTCCTATAATGTGAGGGGCTGTTTGTTACACAGCATACCCTGGTGATTGCTGACTAATACAGGGAAAACTCTTGTTCCTCTAGCTTCTATTTCAAAGAGGGAACTTCCTTCTATTAGTTCTGAGGAAGCACACACACAACCTCTCTCTCTGTTATTCTCTCTCTCTCTCTCTCTCACACACACACACACACACACACACACTTTATATCTTCCCCAAGGAGGGCTCAATGACTAGTCTGGGTGATGAGCCTGGGGAGAGCCGGACATCCTTTGGGAATGTTAGCCACAGGACAGAGCCAGTCCATGCGGCCAAGAGCAACATGGGCTTTAGTTTCTATGCGGTAAACAGACCAAACAGGGCCCACTCTCTTTATTCCAGCTTTTCTGCCTGTGCTTGAGGAATTGGTTTGGATAATGAGGTCTTAAGTTCTAGAATGAAAAAGTGACGTCAGAGTTCTCTGATGCAGCTTTACTGATAATATCAAGGCAGTATTCTGGCTCCTTGTGTCTGTTCTCAATCCATTTAGAAATTGGAAAGAAGGATGTCTGTTCGTTAATTTGCCTCTTCCAAAAGTTTCCTGAAGAACGAAAGCCCAGATTGAATTTTTTCGAAAATTCTCTTTGTGGTCTTCCTAAGTTAGGAGTCAAAATAAAGCTGACTTTTTCTGAGTGGTCCTAACCTCCCTTTATGTCTGGCATCAGGCTGCAAATTGACTTGCCCAGAACATCTTGACAAACTTCACTGGCTCTGCTGACTTCTGAGTTTCACAAGGAAGGACCTCATTCACTAACTGAAAATAGCGTGACATAGTGAAACAGACTTTGGAGACTGAAGATACGAGTTTGCATCCCAGTCTTGTTGGCAACCAGCTGTGTGACCTGGAGCGCATCACTATTGTCTCAGAGCCTCCATGGACATATCTGCAAATGGGGGAAAAGGCGGTCTCTACCTCCCTGGGGTGTTGTAAGTTTCAAACAAGTTGATGTTTACGATTGCACTTAAGGGAGGCCTGGCACAGTATGAGATGGGTGTGGTGGAATCGTGCAGAACTGGATTAAACCTGAGTCTATTTCCACTAGCTGTTTCACCATAGTCACGATACTCTGAGCCTGGGTTGCTCATCTGTGAAGCAGGAATGGTAATTGCTGAATTGTTGAATTCAATGAATATTTGCATAAACCCAAAACACAAATAGACCCTTATGACCAGGGAAGAAGTAAAATGAATGATGTTTGCTCGAGTGGTGAAGTGTTTGCTATGATGAAAGATTCACAGAATAAGACTAGAAATCGCCCTTAAAATATGGACCGTCAGGGGCCAGCCCAGTGACGCACTGCTTAAGTGCGCATGTTCCACTTCGTCGGCCCCGGGTTCACCGGTTCAGATCCCAGGTGCGGACATGGCACCGCTTGGCAAGCCATGCTGTGGCAGGCGTCCCACATATAAAGCAGAGGAAGATGGGCATGGATGTTAGCTCAGGGCCAGTCTTCCTCAGCAAAAAGAGGAGGATTGGCAGCAGATGTTAGCTCAGGGTTAATCTTCCTTAAAAAAAAAAATATGGATCATCATACAGATCAGTGTTGGCAAAATACAGCCCACGAGCCAAATCCGGCCCACTGCCTGTTGTTGTAAATAAAGTTTTATTGGAACTCAGCCACATTCCTCCATTTACGTATTATCACGGGCTGCTTTCACGCTACAGTGACAGAGTTGAAGAGTTGTGACAGATATTGTATGGCCCTCCAAGCCTAAAGTATTGACTATCTGGCCTTTTTGGGAAAAGTCTGCTGACCCCTGCTCTAGGTATATGGAGAAGGAAGCGCATGCTCTAGGAGTGGGAGGGAGGACACAGTATTGAGGGGAGCAACAAGAAATGCCTTCAGACTGAAGCACAGACAGGGGCTGACGTGGTACAAGAAAAAAGGCAGGACAAGCACAGTGGGCTCAGGGTACAGAAGACTGAGGTCCAGAATGATGACGTCATTTGTGAGGCAATAGGGAGCCATGGTGGGTTGTGGAGGAGGGGGAAGATGACATTTGCTGTCAACTCGGTGAAATTATTAGAGGGGTTTAACGCAGATCATGCATTTTTCAGTCTGATGGGGGTTCTTTAGACATAAACAGACAGAACAGATGGAAAGCTTACAAAGCAGTTGCTTATTTGGAGTGGAGTGTTGGCTTAAAGAGGAGCAGCTGGGGTTTGTTTCTCTACTTATTGGTGTGGGAGTTGTCTCTCCACGAAAGTGTAAGCAATTAAATTGGTAGTGACACAATTCACAGTTGGCTGGAGCAGCGCTTCCGAATGTACGCATCCCAAGATGGGAATAGGTGTTTCACCGAAAACAAGCCTTCTCTGGTCTATTGCCTCCCGGAAATGCCGCCAAGCATTTCCTGCAACCAAGGTCGGCAGTTCTCTGTTCCCAGCCCTTCTCAGGGTCTGGAATGGACCAACAAGCATTTTGATTTTCCTAGAGGGGATGCAGGATGCTGTTTCACACTGTGTGTGTGTGTGTGTGTGTAAGGCATTTATTAGTGACCGCCTCATGGAACACTTTTGTTCTGAGAAACACATTTTCAGAAGAGCCGGCCCCTAGGCTTTCTAAAAAGCTCAACAATCACGTTCCCGGATGACTTGGGGGGCTGGGTATCTGTACCAAGACATTGCTGTTCCTCTGTCCTATTTACACAGACTAGTAGATGCCGTGTTTTCTACAGAGCTTTGCAGTTTTCCAAATAATTTATGTACATGTTGATTTCTACATTTGCAAGTGGATTCAGCTTGATTAGCAATTTAAATGGAAATTTTCTAGATGCTATGAATTGAATTGGTGCCTAATTTGCATTTCTGGTCCATTCTCTGTGGACCTAACTCACGGCCCTGAAAATATTCCGGCTGTGGTCACGTGCTAGGAGGCCAGACAGTGTTTAGGGGATCAAAGTGATCGATGGCCATCTTAGTTCCTCTGATCTGAAGGTCACGCAGGCTTCTTGGGTGTAAAACAAAACTGATAAGACATTTAGTTGCAATTGGCTTCCATCCAAGCGGAGAGAGCGCTTCTGGGCAGCGGCCTCAAAGCAAAGCTCTTTCTGAATTAAGCAATGCCCCAGTCGTCTGCCATACCGCGTTATGGGGCTTACAGAATCTGTCAGCCTCTATTTTCTTATCTATTTCATAGAATCACTCAGAGCTAGTCTGAGATCCTCGCTGTCTTAGCACGCTGAGCCTTCCCCTCACCCCAGCTGTTTAGTAGAACGAGTGTAATGTGAATATTTGCTTCTTCTGTTAAATGCAGGAGAGCCCCAGCGATACCACCTGTGCCTAGACATCTGGTAAACCAGGACCCTGCAGTTCTTCTGTGCTCAAGGGCTCAAAATACTAAGACTGTGCAAGGCCCGTGTTCCCCAGCGGCAGAGGGAGGTCAAGCCCCAGACTGGCTCCGCCCCGATGGTCTCTCTGTTGTCTGGGTGAGGGGAGGCTGCTGATGCAGAAGAGTGTGGTGGATATTTCCAAGGGGAGGGATGTTCTGTAAGCATGCTCAGAAAGTCCACCTTCAGAGCAAGTTCACAGACGTCTGCGCCTGGTCGCTATCAGCCTGCCAGGTACCATCGGTCAGGAAAACCCCCTTAGTTCTGCAGGCCAATGTGGGACCTCCTTCCATCGAATTATCCCAGGCCCACCAGGGGCCACAATTGATGTTATTATCCACAATGTATCAGTTCGTGTTTGCAGAGCCAAAGGGAAAGATGGACAGGCTTGTTCTTGGGTGAAGAAGTTTATGATTGAGACATAAAAGTTAGGAACAAGGTTCTGTAAGAATCGCCCAAATAGAGGAAGGTGGCGGCAGGGAGAGGGGCCTGCGAGTCTGCTGGAGAGGGAGGAGCAAATTCGGAGAGAGCAGAAGGGAGCTTCCAGAGGACTTCTCAGCCAAGGGGGGAGCTGGGTGCGAGCCGAGAGCTCAGCTCCCTGGCCCCATACCTGGCCTGGCTGAAGCAGATTCAGGGCACCCGGACTAAATCGTCTTGGTTGTCGTCTGGCTGGAGCCAGAAGCTCAGGGGCCCCTGGACACAGAGAGTTTCCTCAAACCCCATGACCTTCTTCCAATTCCCAAAATGAGTTTCTACTTCTGTTCTTTCCCAGATCTCTGCTTCCTGGTCACCGTGCTGAGACACCGACAGCCCACCAGCCATTCTGTCTTTCCGCTTAGGCTCCTCCCGTCCTGTCACCCGGCCTAACCCATCACACGCCATGTGCTCCAGGCCCATGAGGACCAGAGACCCCCTCAGGTATGCACGTCCATCTCTCTGGCACATCAGCTGGATGCTCTCTCCTGGCTCTGTTTCTCCTGAGCTCCAGCATGCCATAGGCCTCCCTACCTTGCTTCCTGACCTTGGTCCCCAGACCACCCCTTTGGACTTGGTTCTGCTGAGCTTCATGCCTCGTCTTGCCTCATGGCCTCTGCCTCCAGCACATCTCCCACTGAACTTGTGTCTTCACTTTCCTCCCAGAACTGAAGCCCAACCCGGACTCCCTGGCCACCAGTGATGCCAACATAGGTCAGATCCTGGTGAGTCATGAAGAGGCAGGCGGATGCCCACAGGCTGGCCCCTTTGATGGACAGTTGTCAGCTGCCTGGTCCTAGCTGCATTCCAGAAAGAGAGGATGCCAGAGGCGAGTCCCATAAAGATGAGATGCTTATTGTATTCCCCACCCACCTGTTGCAGGTCTGTGACGAGGCATCTCTGTGCAGTTAGAGCGCTGTGGTGTCTGAAGTTGGGAGAGCTGCATTTGATGCCCGCCTCTCCTCCTTACTGCCAGCATGGCATCCAGCAAGTTATTTTTATCTGCTTTGAATCACTATTCACTCTTCTACCAAACTCAAAAAAAAAAAAAAAAAAAGCTGTGCATACTTCACAGAGCTGTTATGGGGGTAAATTAAATTCCATATCTGAATTGTAAAGCGTGATATAAGCATTAATCTCTTATTTAGATAAAGTTTTTTTTAATACAAATTCCTGCACCTCCACCCAGAGATTTGTTATATGAAAGGGGTCTTAGAATCTGAATTTTTACCAGTTCCCCAGGGGTGTATTAAAATCATCCAGATTTGGGAATGACTGGCTAAAAAGTAAATGAATGTCTAATATGAGGTAACTTTTTTTTTTTTTGGTGAGGAAGATTGGCCCTGAGCTAATATCTGTGGCAATCTTCCTCTATTTTTCGTGGGATGCCACCACAGCATGACTTGATGACGGGTGGTATCTGCACCCAGGATCTGAACCTGCAAACCCTGGGCCGCTGAAGGGAAGTGTGTAAATTTAACCACTTTGCACTGGGCCGGCCCCATGAGTAACTTTTTCAGAGGAGTAAATGAAGGCTGGCATGACTGGTTTGCTTTCAACAAGCAGAACATGAGCACACGTGTATCTCAGTTCCCCATTTCAAACTCAGTTCCCTCTCCCAACCTAAAGTCCGAGGAACAGCTCATGGAAAAAGTGGGCACCAAATACATCCATTTTGATGTTGAATACATTATTTTATTTGTTTTTATTTTTACTTTATTTATTTTTTGGGGGGGTGAAAGTGGTCCAAAGGTAAAAAAAGTAAAGCTGTTAATGACAGTCATTATGCAAGACCGACTGACAATATTCACCTGCCCCCGTGGGTGGCAGAGCAAAGTCACAATAAACTACAGCTTTTCTGGTTCCTATAAGGAAGGGAAATTTCAAGGGCTTTGGGGGAACATGGCCAAAAGGTGACATCGGTGTCAACGTGAGACTTGCCTGTGGGAGAGGGTCCAGGACAAGTCCTCGGGATGCCCCTGCCGTCTCAGGACAGTAGCCTCATCCTTGCTGGTGGTCTCTTTCATTACCATAGTGGAAGTCAAGGGCATAAGTGGCTTCAGAAGCGACCTCGCCAGCTATAGCCAACCAAAGGCAGTCTGTTTCTGACTGGCCCAGGGAAGGACAACAGGAGGCTAGGTCTCGCTCTACTCTGGTGACAAGAGAAGCAGGCGGAGGCTGCTGAGCAAACTCTGGGTAGGCAAGGTACATAGGTGTGGACTTTGTCCTCAGTGCCAGGAGGCTACGTTTCATCTTACACGGGTTGAATTAGAGATGTTTGTGGACATCCAGGAGGAAACGTTGACTGAGATGTTAGACATACAGGAAGAAATTTGAGCTCAAAACATATATATAGTGGTCACCAGCATATCTATCATAATTAAAACCAAGGGCATGCATGAGATCGCCTAAGGAGAGCACATAGAATGAAAAAGGCACAAGTCAAAAAGTGAAGACTTGAGGGCTGGCTCAGTGGCATAGTGGTTAAGTTCTTGTGCTCTGTGTCGGTGGCCTGGGGTTCATGGGTTCGGATCCCAGATGCAGACCTACACACCACTCATCAAGCCACGCTGTGGAGGCATCCCATATGCAAAGTAGAGGAAGAATGGCACAGATCTTAGCTCAGGGCCAATCTTCTTCACCAAAAAAAAAAAAAAAAAAAAGTAAATACTTTTTTATTAAAAAGTAAGAGATGATTTTTCTACAATTTCAAAATGTTCTGTATTTATAAATGTCACTTGTGTTTTCAAGGACCCTGATTATAAACAAAGAGGTATTGGTTTCCAGCCCTTATTCAAGGTTTTATTTTTCTTGGCACTCTAGTCCTATCACTTCTTGCGGCTGTATGTTGTCCCAGCACCTTTCTTTACTCTGAAATTTCCACTCCCAGAGTACCAGGGTCAATGGGGTTAAGAAGGACTAAGAGTCACAGCCTGGTCATTTTAGGAAGCTCCTGACACAAATGCTACAGTAATATTTTTTTTTTTTGAGGAAGATTAGCCCTGAGCTAACATCCACTGCCAATCCTCCTCTTTTTGCTGAGGAAGAGTGGCTCTGAGTTGATATCTGACGCTACCCCAGCATAATTTGATGAGCAGTACGTAGGTCCGTGCCCAGGATCTGAACTGGCAAACCCTGGGCCACTGAAGCAAACGTAACTGCTATGCCACCAGGCCAGCCCCGCAAAAATGCTAAAGTAATTTTGACCTTGCTTCCAGGGAAAGAAAATGCTCATTCCTCTGTAACCTGCATATACGCCAGGGTCACGTGTGGGCCTGTCCCTGTACAGTACTGCAGTCGAGGAAAAGAAGCCGCCAACTGAATTCAAAGCAAGTGGTGTTTTCTGAAGAATTTCCAATTTGTCAAACACAGCAATATTTCTTCAAGTCTTCCTTCCTCGTTTCTGTCGCTCCCAGCTTTCCTCGTAACCCCCACAGCTGCCCAGATGTCTCTGCCTTCTCCTCTCCCTCTAGATCTCACCCCACAATTCTTGAAACTGAACACGCTTGACTCCCAATTCCTTCATCTCTCCCCGCACATCCCTGTATCTCTTCTTTTCTTCCTTCCTAGTAAAATTTCCCCTCTTGCTTCTTGTGTATCCATCCCACGCATGGTCCTGATTATCCAGCTGCAGAACGAGGCCTAGGAGGAGAGCTGGCGGAATCCTAGTCTCATCTAGGAGATGGGGTCGCAGGGGAGGTGCGGGGTGGGGTAGATGGGGCACTGTGGAAGGCCATGGTGGTGAGAAATCTAGACATCAAAGACAGAGTTTTCATAGGGGTGGTGGGGAGGTAGGAAGAGGAAAGGACTGTGAGTATTTATAATTTAGCATCTTTTCCATCCCATCATACCTCCAAGCACATTTGCTGGTCCATTGATCTTAGTTGGCTTGGCCTCTAAAAGATTCCTCCTCCTTTGGTCCCTATATTAGTTTCCTAGGGCAGCCATAACAAATTACCATAAACTAGGGCGCTTAAAACCATAGAAATTTCTTCTCTCGCAATTCTGGAGCCTAGAAGTCTGAAGACAAGGTGTTTGCTGGTCCACGCTCTCTCTAGGAAGGATCCTTCCTTGCCTCTTCCCAGCTTCTGGTGGTGGCCAGCAATCCTTGGTGTTCCTTGGATTGTAGATGCAGCACTCTGATCTTTGCCTCATTTCCACGTGGCCATCTCCCCTCCGTGTGTCTCTGTGTTCACATTTCTCTCTCCTCGTAAGGACACCAGTCACTGGAGGAAGCCCCCCACTAATCCAGTATGGCCTCACCTTAAATTGATTACATCTGCCAAGGGTCTGTTTCCAAGTGAGGTCACAACCACAGGTTTGGGGGGGACATTGTTCAGCCCAGTGCAGCCCCCAGGTATCTTTGTCCTGATGCTCCCAGACCTTTGACTGCAGGTTCTCCCCTGGAATGCAGCAGAGAGGAGCAAAGAGAGGATAAAAGGGAGACAAGTCCCAAATAAAGAGAAACATAAGGGGACAGACATGGAACGGCCTTAATTCCCACTCTGTGGTCACCGTCTGGAAGTCAAAGGAGAGCCAAGGAAGCTCAGGTTGACGGGTCCACAGGTCTGTTCACCACGTTCTGTCTGTGCCCCAGATTCCTCCAAAATCTCTGGTCCTGGCTCCCAGTGGTCCCTTTGGCTCCCATTCCAGGCATCGGCTGGCTCCTGCTTTGGTCAAGCATTGTCCCGGGCACTGGAGACACAGAGGTGATAAAATGGCCATAATCCCTGTCCCCAGTAAGCACACGCCACTGAGAGAGAGCCATTCATTAAACAAATAATATTAAGTAATTAAGTAAACAATGACGAGTAGGCAAAAAGTACCATGAAGGGAGTCAACATGCAAGCTAAGGGCTGAGGGGTGGGAGGGGTGAAGGAGGAGAAGGGGCTGTGGTTGGGGCACCCCACAGCACCAGGATGCCCCGAAGCTCCAGGTCTGGCAGACCACGTTGTTTGATGGAGCTACAATGGTCCAGTGTCGCTGGAGTATAGAGAGCCACGGGGAGAGATGTCCATCTGGGCTCGGACACTTGGAACAGTGCTGCTCTTGAAGGTCACTGTGCACAGGGCGAGGATGAGGATGGACAGAGCTGTTTCCTCCTTGCAGGCGGTTGAAATCCAGTGTGATCTGGGACAGGGTTACAGACTTGGGGACTAGACAGAGCTGGGCCCACTCCTGGCACTGCCACTTAGGGACTGTGTGCCGGGAGCAAGTGACTTAAAATGACTAACTTTGAGTTTCTTCATCTGGAAAGTGGGCATACAACTGTGGTCAGGACTAACGGGTAAATGCATCCACGGCTCTTGGCATAAAGTTCTCAATAAACAGCAAGTAGATGGACCTGCATTTTACCAAACTCCCCCCAAATTTAAAAAATTGGGAATCCAACCTATAATCACCAATCCAATTTCCTACAGGCTGTATATATTAAAGCACAAAATGTAGTTTGAGAATGACCTTGTTTTTGCTTTTGCTATGCTTATCCGTTTACTGCCCGTCTGCATTCCAAAGCCCCCAGTAGAGGTGATAATAAGTTTGTTTGTGTATATTAATTTAATTTATAGAATCAATAGAAGTTAATCAGAATTTTTTCCTTGGATTAAGAAAAATGTCATAGCACTTTTTTACCTGAGGCAAATTTCAGTTATATTAACTAAGGAAATTAGAATATGAGTTTATTCTTTTTTTCCTAAAGGGAAGAATTTGCCCTGAGCTAACATCTGTTGCCAGTCTTCCTCTTCTTTTCTTTTTTGTTTTCTTCTCTGCAAAGCCCAAGTGCATGGTTGTATATCCTAGTTGTAAGTCCTTCTACTTCTTCTATGTGAGCCACCACCACAGCATGGCTACTGACAGATGAATGGTGTGGGTTCCATGACCAGGAAATGAACCCAGGCTGCCAAAGCAGTGAGAGCACCAAACTTTAACCACTAGGCCATCAGGGCTGGCTCGAGTTTATTCTTAAATAGAAAACAAGCTGAATTTAATAATTTAAGCATGATGTGGCATTCATAGTTAACGTGGA